TATTTTCTGTAATCTCTCAGTGCCCCGCCCCATCATCCACCCTCTGTCCAGCCCCAGCAACATGTTCTGTGTGACCAGCCTGGATCCAGACACGCTGCCCTCTGTAGCCACGCTGCTCATGGACGTCATGTTCTACTCCGGAGGGTAAGATGCTTCTCTTAAAACCTGTTTTCTGTGACAAACCCATCGGATGGTGGATGAGGCTCCATTACAGTTTTATAAAGTCTGAGGCTGATCAGGTTTGGTTTTCTGGATTAGGGAGAGATTTCTCTGCATCATGGTTGAGATCTGGAGCTCAGTCCGAACAGGAAGTTAAGCTCCTGCAGCAAAAAACAAATCTTTGCTTTATTTCTTACTAAATTAGTTAATATTTTTCTGCATTTATCCTTTTAAAAATATCTAATAAGAGTTTAAATTAAATTAAAGCAGGACATTTTCATGGGAGAAAATAAAAAAACAACCTGTTGTTGTAATGAATTAAAGATTTCCTGATTCAAATGTGTTCTATAGCACTGAAGCATGAGGCAGCTAATATTTACTTTCTACCAAAAAATATATATATATATATATATATTGCATTAACATGTGAGGTTTTTAGACTGACGCTGTAAAAAGAAAGCACATCCTTCTTTCAGAAAGGAGTCCGTGTAACAATCATATGTCAGTTTTATGCAGGAAAAAAATACTAATAACACCCTTTCAGATTCCATGAGATTAAAGGAAATCAAATAGCCATGTTTAATCATCAACCGCACAATGAAAACTGATCATTTCTTTTGTTTTCCCAAGTTAATGCAATGAAAAGCCCATCTACACACCAAGCAGCAAAGAAATGGGCAGTTAGCTTAGAGAAGCAACTCTACCTGCTCATCAATCCTTGAAGGGTTCTAAAGCTTTTCATTAAGGCTGGAAGTCTGTCATTTTGGAGAGAAAATCATTATTCACAGGTGGAAACATTAAAACAGCTGCTGCTCCACCCAGGAGGGGAAGCTTAACCATATAGCTGCAAATGATTCAGTGTGGGGTGCCAAGCAGGAAGGATAGGATAGAGACATCCTTTGGCCAACAGTGGTGGAAGTTGGCAAGATTCACAACCATGTCTGTCTGGGTTACTGCAGGTCATTAAAAA